GTGGAGTTTATGTGTCTTTGAGATATATATACGAAATATACATAAATACGAAATTAAATTCGCTTGATTCGACAGAAGAAAAAGAAAAATCTAAAGTTAGTCAAAAGTAAAGTGTCAATTATATTGCAAATATGCAATCCCTTTGGATAAAACAACCGTTGCATCAACCGATTATACATTGGACGCTTTCAAATCGAGCAAAGATTGTTACGTTCCCGCTACACCGATCGTATCGATCGAACAAAGCTAGCGTACGCATTACATTACTCTTAATATGTGCGTGTAGCCGAGTTTAGATCATTTTTAACGATCGAATAATAATGATGCATTATTCCAGCTCCCTTCCTTTCAGTGGCATTTCCCTCCCGACTTTCATTGTCACGGATAATTGAGAGATAGATAGATAGAAAGAAAGAGAGAGAGAGAGAGAGAGAGAGAGAGAGAGAGAGAGAGAGAGTGGGGGGGAGGGGGAGAGATACTCGATGCAGTTCTCGCGCGTTGCGATGCACTCTGCGCGAAAAAACACCGACAGAGAAGGTTGCTCCGTGGAGGAACAAACAGGAGGAGGAGGAGGAGGGAGAGGAAGAGGAGAAGGAGGGGAGGAGGAACGAGGAGATGGTGGGTCTTCGTGCATCTCCGGCTCCCGTCGGAGCTTATATCGATCACGAGAGAGTGCACGATATTCGAGAATACATTATACGCGGACTCTAGCCTCTAGCCGGACTGCCTATAGTCATGCGGAATATAGACGGCCAGGCCGCTGCACTCTCGCCTCCCTCTTTCCTCTCGTTCTCGCTCGCTCTGCCAACTGCTTCCTCCACAACTGCCGTGCCACCCTCGCCTTCCTTCTGCACGTCGCCGACGTTGCGCTGTCGACGTCGTTGTAACCACGGGAGGCTGCGGCTGCAACCATCGGCTACTCCTCTTCTCGCGTCTTCTTCTTTCGCTTCTTGAGAATTTATCGTCGTGTCCGGTATTTCACTGCAACGTACTCTTGCAGAATATACTTTATTTACCGAAACGTTACGCCTGCGTGCGCTTTAAATTATGTTTTTTTTCTTGGCACGCATCATGTATATTTTCGACTATTATTGAAAAGTAGTGGATTCCAAAGTACTTGTCCGAGGACATGGTGTGGATGCGACAAGCTCTTTGTAATGAAAAATTGTAAAATTACCGCTATCGGTATCGCTTCGCGTAGAAGAGCCTCGTTTTCGTCCCCGATAGTAAATATCCGACGTGATAAACGACGGCGATGCAACGGCACGATTGCTCGTCACGCGAGTCTCCCCGGGGGCCCGCGGAGTCTGTCGTCCGCTCGGAGCAATAATACAGAAGCTTCTTCGTTACATGCCTTGGTAGAGTATTCCTAGCCGTGAAGCTATTGTCGTTGTCTTCGTCGTCGTCGTCGTCGTCGTCGTCGTCGTCATCGTCATCGTCGTCATCGTCGTCATCGTCGTCATCGTCGTCGTCGTCGTCGGCGAGGGGACTCTACTCGCCGAAGCGGCGGGAGGCTGGAAGGCTGGAAAGTTGCGAGATTAGGAGACTGCGAGACCGGGAGGCTGGGAACACGACAGGGAGGGCTCCGAGTACGCACGGTAGGGGCAAAAGAGGACCTTGGCCTTTTCGCGGAGCAAAAATAAAACCTGTTGACACCGAAGCCCCGCGGACGCAAGGGATTCTCGTTTTTTCTCTATCTCTCCACTTGTTTCTCTCTCTCTCTCTCCCTCTGCCTCTCGAGCGCGCATACACGTGCGCGCGCAACATTGGCGATTGAGGAGAGAGAGAGAGAGAGAGAGAGAGAGAGAGAGAGAGGATCGGAGAAAGAGAAGGCAATGTATTTATCCAAATTCTCTTTCGATTCTTGCATTCTTATCACAATCAGCCAACAATCTGATGGTAAACTACACATCTGTCTAGCTATTCGATCAATTCGATAGACCAATACGCGATCGTGATCGATAATGATCGTTTCACGGTTATCACGATATGCGAAATGCGTGTTCTTCGTAGGGTAAAATATGCGCGCGTACGAGGTGGGATACGCGTTACGTAGACAGGGCGCAGACATTGAGAAAGCAGCCTCCGGTGCATATATGCGCGCGCATCACGCACGCATTCACACATACACGCTATAAACATATAGGTATACATACCACATACGCGCACGCGAGTCTTTCTACCGCGATCGAATAAAACCCGCGCGCATACACACTCCCACGTTATATAAAGAACTCTTTCTCGCTTGTTTATTAAGATTCTACTCTTACGAAATCGGCTTGAATACACGTAAATTATCTCCCCCATTATTTTAGCTTGAAATATATCGTTATTATTTGAACATTGTGTAGGAGATTGAATATTATACGATATGACATAGGCGTGCAAACAAAGTATTTTTAAATCTTGATTTAATCGAGAAAAGAAAGAGAGAGAGAGAGAAAGAGAGAGAGACACAGGGAGAAGACATGTGCATTACGCATTATATCAAAGACAAAGCTTTTTAAATTCCAATAATCATGACAAGAGTTTCCTGGAAAATGTTTGCAAAATTTTTGCATTAAAATGAAATTTTTGTAAAGGTGACTAGAGTGTGCATTTGCTCACGTTCCGTGAAAACGTGCTTTAAGCAGAAGAACGCGGCTCTTTCGTGGACTCGAATGGTTTATATGCAACGTATGAAGAAAAGAATCGCGCACACCTGCGCGATCGGTAGTTATATGCACATACGGTAGGTACGCGCAGGGGTGTGTGTGTGTGTGTGTGTGTGTGCGCGCGCGCGCGCTCGTGTATGTGGCATCCTGTACACTATACGCCATGTGTATACACACGTTCACGCGAGCTTGTGCAAAGAACCTCAGAGTATACGGGAATAGAGTACCCACGTTCCTCCGCCTCGCCTGTCTCTTCCTCGGCTAGACAGCCCATAGACGAAGAATGGCTTTCGCGCGAGGTTTCGATTGCGCGAAATAACGTGAAATGTCATCTTTTCGAATGATATAAAACATTATAATTAATCAATCCCATATATTCCTCCTTCCCTCCCAAGTCTCTCTAAAGAGTATATATGACGCGTGTTTGATGATGATGATGATGATGATGATGAATGACCAAATTAAAGTTGTTGCAATCTTGGCGGAAATGCCAATACTTTAAATTATTAAGAGAATGATATAAAGAGTTTGTCGCAAATTATAAGCTGGGTGATAATGTGTAGGTTGAAATAAAAATGCTTGTTGCTGCGTGTAATAAAAATGTTGTTGCAAGTTGCAAGCGTTGCGGAAGCGGCGTGGTGCATCGTGCCGCCATTCGAAAAGGAAACGCTCAACGAAGGGGGCAGGGCCAAACAGTCGCGTCGGAAAAATTCTCATTTAAGTCCCGACCAATGAAAAGGCCCGGCGTGCCCGCGATGAAAAACTTTCGAAGGGAAAGGGTCGACTGGTTTCAGATATGTCCGCGCCGTTACGAGTGAACGCGATACGATTCTGAAATCGTATAATTCGTACGTTATAAATGAATGTAAAACCTTAAACTAAACAACTAAAGAGTGGAAAAAAACTTGGCGGACCGCATGAGCGTAGACGCGACTGCATTTGATATACGATGTCGGTGGTCGTTTCGGAAGGGGCTCTCTTTCAGGTAAGACGACCCATTAAATACTGGAAAAGTTCCTCGCAGTTGCGGTCAATGGCTCCGCCCAAAACGAAAAGCTAAAGAACACGGCAAAATGGTGGCGTTACGTTGATTTAATACTTTAATGGGAAATACAGAATAAAATGGGATTACGCGTAGCAGCGTACCATACAGAAGATACAGAGAACGATAAAGAAGAAATTTAATTAATAATTCCTTGATAGTTAATTGAAATGAAAAATGCTAGTCAAAATAAAGCTCTTCGTTTCATAATCTGTATAGATTTGATCATCGATATACAATAGTAATCGTAGAAACCTTATAGAGGGATCCTACATTTGCGTAGATTAACAGCCTAACGAAATTAAAAAATGAGCCAGCTAACGACGAAATATTCTTTCCACGTCGAGATGAAAAATGGAAATTTCTAACGATATACAATTGGAGTGATTAAAAAACTTTGACAATTATTAAGTGCTCGTCATTGTTGAAACGAACCAAAATCGAAGCAAAGTCGCGCAATGTCGATAAAATTCACTGTAATCCATGTACTGTAATTCACCAAAGTTCTCGTTAGTCTAATCTAGGACATTGTCTTTAACCTTAACTATACATACACGTACGATCAAAAGTATCGAGCGAATAATATTGTGCGCAACTGAAGCGATAGCTCACGACTTTCAATAATAAATAATTAAATTAATTATCGCTACTTTTCCTCTTCTCATTTTAAAAGGGTTATCAAGATATTTAAAAAGGTCATCCACACACGGTTCTCACAATTTACGTTCTTTTTACGCATAACTGACGAACTGACGACGAGAATATATGTATATTACATCATGTAGCCGGTTTATCAGCGCGCAAAAAGTATTTATAATCGCATCAAGTAGTCAATTGTATTGAGAGGAGAGTAATTTTTAATTAATAGTATACAAATTGGAATGAGCAAGAGGCAAGAGGTTGCACGCCAAAGAGGTTGAAATCGATAATCTTTACACTCGACTGAATATAGCCAAAATCGAGTGATTTGACTTTTCACGATTCTCAATTTTTCAGTCATGTCGCCTTTAAAAAGAATAGGGAGAGAGGGAGAGGGAGGGAGGGAGGGAGAGAGAGAGAGAGGGTGATTTAAATTTAAAATGATTGAAAGATATACTGAAAATATGTAAATGTGTATAAGATTTGTATAAAATTGCTCGAAACATGGAATCGCGACGCGATCGCACCGCTGCATCGCGTGTAACAATGTGTAAGGAGCAATCTGTCTGTCTGGACAGCAACTGAGCAACAGCGTGTCGCGTGTCGCGTGTCGCGCGTTGTGCGTCGCGCGGCCAACGCGAGTTTACTCTGAAAATGTCCTTTACCTCGCTCGCCATTCGCGATCGTTCCGTTGACTGGGACGAGAGACTGCGACGAGAGCGCGATACGCATCTCGATGACAGGGAATTGGTCCGCATCCGCATCCGCATCCGCATCCACATCCACATTGACGGGTTGGAGTCATCGTGCGTGTTTGGAGCAGGCGGGGAAAAAAGCGACGTGGACGCATATATGTACATATATCCTACATCTATCGGGCACTCGTTAGCCGGTTCGTACTGTCGTCAGGTCGCCGCTCTCCGACGAGAGATCACTGCCCTCGCACACACCCGACCCGACAGCCGACAACAGCCCCAACACCCGACGAGGCTTTCTCTCGTTCCTTCGCGCGGACCGCCAGTAACGTATCGCGAAACGACTGAACCACCACTAACCGGATCACTAACCGATTCGCGCGCTCGACACGACACACGACACACGACACACGACACACGACACACGACACACGACACACGACACACGACACACGACACACGACACACGACACACGACACACGTAATCAGTTCGCCGACCAAAGATGACAGGCTACGCGCTACGCGTTGCGGCTGTACGCGCGATTTCCGCTCTATTACGAGCACTTGGCGACAGAGAGTATCGAGTACTGTGCGTGTGCGGAACAACGGATGGACGAGATCACACGGAACGGGTTAAACGGAGACGTCGACTCTCTTCTCGGAGAGAGAAGGAGAGGGAGAGGAAGAACGAGAGGGGGAGAAAACGAGCGAGCGACAGAGAGAAAGAAAGAAAGAAAGAAAGAGAAAGAGAGAGAGAGAGAGAGAGAGAGAGAGAAAGCAACGCGCGATGCAGTCCGGGAAAAGAGAGAGAAGCAGTCTTTTACCGAATTTTTGCAAATCGAGCGGAACGCGTATCACTCTCGAGACGTAACACGCGTGTCGCGCGGAATAGCAAACGGTGAAACGACAGACGCACACGAGACTTTTCGCGGGTGGTCGTGACCCTCTGGTGGCGGCCGGCGAGACGACCTTACTCTACACGAATTCGCGAATATCGCGTTCGACGCGACACGACGAACGACGAGAGACGAGACGTACGACGCACAGCGACGGCTGCGACGGCGACGGTGGCGGTGGCAGTGGCAGCGGCAGCGGTGGTGGAGGTGGAGGTAGTACATCGACTCTGACCGATTCGGTTTCGCCTTCGCTGCCGACCCGCCGCCTGCCGCCCGCAGCCCGCCACCCGCCACCCGCCGAATGCCCACTCTCGTCCATTTAACATGTCTATGCTGTGCATGCATATTGCACGCGTGCGCATGTATTTATCGCAATTTTTTCAGCTTGCCGCGAATCGTTTATTTTGTTTTAACTATGCGATCGGACGTTCCGAAAAGCAAAGACTAATCCTAGTGGGGTTATCGAGAAAGAACGAAAGAAATGATCCGAAAATGGCAGGTTGAAAGACACATCTCTCTGCGCGCGCGCGCGCGCGTGGTGTGTCGCAGATATCTCGCTAAAAAGATCGAGCGGAAAGATACGCTACCGCCATCTATATGATAAAGCGGGAACATGTTTTTGCGAATTGCAAATTGACGCGCTACATCTTGCGCTTTGTATGTGCACTAAAGGTTAGTGACCGCGATCGGCGGAAGGAATTTTTTGCTAAATGGCGCGTCATAGTCTTGCACTTTTACATCTGATCAAAATACAGTATCTTTTTCATCTTTTACAAGTTTATGCAATATATTCTTCGATAGATTTTTTCTCGTAATCTATCATTTTTATTAAAATATGTAATATGTATGCGTATAATATATATTTATATATTTGTCAGTTATCGAATATATTATTTTATTTTCTCTTTTCCCATAAATTATAATAAATAACTCTTGTGTGACTTGTGGTTATATTAAACAAAATATTTTACAAAATTAAATAGCCGTTTGTCGCGCCACAATGTAACATTGAGTGAAGAGTGGGAGATGTATTATATGTATATATCGTCTATTCAAAAGTAACTAGACATCTGAAGCACTATGCATAGTATGTATGTCTGTGTGTGTGTGTGTGTGTGTGTGTACAATCTTTGGCGACTTTGTATCATCGTACCTCTTTATTCTCTTCAAAATTGAAACAGCGCTTTATAGTCCTGCATGCGATTAAAGTAATAAATAAAAATGTATCGTCCTATTTCACAAACACGATTGCAATATAAATTATCTCACAAAACACAGTTTTTACGTAAGAAAGAAATAAATAATTTCATACAGATTAAACTTGATGCGGAAATAATTTCCCATGTCAAGTGTGTATATCGAGTATGTATAATCATTAATTATATTCAATTATCGATCTCGCGTAATCTTGTTATATAAAGGGACATTGTACCATGTTATATCCAGAAGCATATCGCAGGAGGAGACACGATTATCGCCAACAAGGTCGCAATGAACTTTGTTACCCAGAAGGGATCGAGCCCTCCGTTCAATGTTTCAATGTTTAGTCGCTTTTTTCATCATGTCAGAAGACAGAGTTTTTACTAGGCTGAGTTGAGGTATCGAGAGAGGCAAGATGATTGTGTTTACTCTCTAAGCATGGCGTAAGGTTACAAGTGAGAACTATGAGGCTGTTGTTCGTAAAACAGTACATAGGCTTCACTGGAAACGACTGATCGTGCAGACACAACGGACACCCGGCTGTCGTTATACTCGTGCCATTCTCCCGAGTACGGATGCTTACAGTACGCGGTATAATGACCAGAGTATGTCGTACCCGAGTGATTCGCGACCCCATACAGATTGTACGTACAGCCCGGAACTCTCGGGGCGGCAAAGGCACTGAGATCTAAACCCGTCAACGGAAAGTCCACCATCACGTTCAGCTTGCCGCGGAAACGTTCCATCGGAGAAAAACGTTTCAAATCTAACGGATAGAATATTAAGAAAAATATCCTTTTCAATCTTTGCTTGTAATAAAACTAAATCTACGTTTACATTTTTCTCTTTCTTTGAAATGGCATCGATTATACAATATAAATATAAAAGCGACGACATAGATGTACAATCGTACGTTGTATCAATTTAAAAAAAAGGATACGAATTACCAAAATTTTCGGGAATTTCTGTATGCTGAAGCTCTTGGTACACTTTCTTCTCATTTGACATTTGGAACATGTTGGTTTTTCATCGCCGTCCAACACCTCCTCTCGAGTAAAATGCTCCAAGCATTGACTCAGTTTTACTGTCCCGCTCCTGCCTGGTATTGGCAAACTTAAATCCCAGAACGGGTCAAGCGTGACCGATACATGATCGCAAGAGGTGCAATGTAAAGACGAACGTAATTGCCCGACGAAAACATCGACAATCATACTGTCTTCGCTGCGTAGATAACGTTTCCAACTCTCTACCGCTTTTTGCATATCCCTATATCAAATAACAGCAATGTTGAATTTTGTTGTAAATCGAACAAACATACTTTATATAAATGCGCTTTTAAATGTCTACACTTACGTATAACTATCGGGTATATCTCCATGTATGGGTGGTAGCTTTGTAGTAACTCTGTTGACATCTTCGTGCAAACCCTCTAGCAAGTATCTAAGAAACTCTTGAGCATCTTGTTGACTGTAGCCCATAAAACGTGGGGCGAATCTCTGTATCTGAGACTTGAGCGCGGTCGTGTTTACCACGTGATCACCGCCCACCTCCCACAATTCGTGGATCACTTGGCTGAACGCTTTGATCAGAGCGCCTTTCATGCTGGACGTAGTAGTATTTATGTCGGCCAGATATTGTTCGTTTAACAAATACTCCAACAGAGGTCTTGTGTTGCTTAAGCACTGGATCACGCTGTTCATGAAACACTAAAACAATTATGTATATTAAGAATATATGCAGCGGTCAAGGTGAGAGAAACCATATTTCGTTAAAAATATACTCACTGTATTTCCAATATTTCGTAAGCCGTTTAAACCACATCGTTCATCGCGTGAAGCTTGCAGGCGGTTACGTACTGATCTCGGATTTCCTTCCTGGAAATTATTAAATCATTGTTATTTACGCGAGTAAGTTGCTCCACAACCATTGTTAATTAAACGAGGGCGCATAGTTTATATATCGTTGTAAATATCGTCTCGTCTTGGAAAAAAAAAAAAAAAAAAAAATGTCTTTTTTTTTATAAGTGTTTAAACTTTCACTGGTTCTGATCAATGAAATATTGTTCGATAAGGCTTAAGCGGGATAGCAAACTTATGTTATACAAACACAAAGTAAAAATGCGCGAATTAGATTTGTAACACCTTGTTAGGCACACGTATATGTGTATAGACATTGCTATGTTTATTAAAATATACATTTACAAACGGGATAGGAAAATGTCATAATGTGTTTTTAGTTTATACAAAAGACGATAAAAATAAAGGCAATCGATTCAATTGGCAATATGCAGAAAAATATTTTTGCAATCCCTCGAGTACTCACCTGTGAATGTGAAACAAATGAAGAAGATTGAACAGTATGTGAAATGGAGCGGAGCGGAATTATCGCCGAATTATCGACGCGTATCGAATTAATTCTAGTCGAAATACGTTTGTAGGATATTAAAGGTGTCGCGATGCCAAGGAAAAAGGCATAAGCGGACAAGAGGCTTATCGTTGTCCACAGACACCACAAAGCCCATCCTATCACTTGGGTATGAGCCAGTTTATATGATCGGCCACACGATTTTCAAATAATAGTATTTCGAAGAATCTCACAATTATACGATCAAAATGTTTGTTTTTTTTTTTCGTTGCACGCGATACGTCGCGCGTGCGTCTAAATAAAGAGGAAAGATGATTCATACTTGTCAATGTATATTAATTATAAACGCTACTTTAACGACCATTGTAACTTATAATATCATTATCGCGGAATGAAAATTATTATATTTTTTTACAAACGTCGTTTTGTTATTCAGACACAATGGAACCTTGGAATGTTGATTTTGTTAATGCAATGAACAACTCGCGCAAACTCAATTTATATTATATAATAGGAACAGTTATAAACAGTTTGTGAGTTAGAAACGCAATTACGATCGCTTCACTTTGTTCGTTTTACGATCGCGATTATTATATTAATACATTCTCGACTACATGGTAGAATCTACGTAAAGAAGTGTGCAAACTCTGGAAAGAGAAATCTATCGTAAATTACCACGAAATACTGTAGTACGAGTCCGTGCCTCTATCTCTCGAAGAGATCGAGAAGAAGAGAGAAAGAGCTCTAAGCTATTAATAAAATGCAGCGACGCCCGCGACTAACTTTGAAGAGACTCTAGTTGGAAAGACGTCGAGAGGGCAAAGAGATTTCGTAATAGAGATGGGCGGGAAGTAAATGAATCGCGTGTAGCGGTGTAATTCTCCTCTTTTAACATGTGTCGAAACACGATTAAATCTGTTTATCGATAAATGTATCGAAGAAGAAA